TTGTTACGATGAAAAGTCGAAAATAAACAATACTCATTTATACAAAAATATTCAAATAAATATCTTTAGATGCAAATCTCTGACATTATTCTCTTCGAAATGTTTGAAATATCATAAACTTGGAATTCAAACTGCGATAGGCATTAAAGTAGGACCTATAGGATAAATACAAAGTTACTCCAAAAAACAAGACTGGAAACAAATGTAATGGAAAGACATTGGTAAAAGTTATACGAATCACTGAAGTTGGTGAAAGTAACGGTCATCGGATGGTGGTGATAGAATGATTAAAAACTTTACGTATCCTTAGTTAAGGATGATTAGCTCTCATACACAAACGACTTACTGTTCATTAGTATAAGCACTAAACTTTCAAGTGATAAGTTCCAGATTCGAATTCCGCTACTTTGGCATAGGTAACCGAGTAATAAGAAAAGCCTTTATACAATTATTGTAGTTCACAGACTAATACACAAACCTGTACTTCGCTGGGTTGAATTTTTACTGTCAAAAATATTACTATTTGACTGACTAAACTTGACTTAGGACGCTTCTATGTGTTGCACATGTTAGGGCACTACCTACCTTGACGTGAAATGTTAACCAAAGAATAACAGGATTGAAAGGTCAGGAGTGGTATGACTAAGACGTGATATCAGTCTATTAACTCTTCCACTGTTAGTTCGAGCTATGTGAGGTGTAATCTGTTTGAATTCACGCTTAGAAATTTTACAGTCAGCGGTTTAATAACCTTGGTGATATGATAGAAATTCGAGAACATTGGTGCAGATGTATACTTTCTTTGTCATCTCCGAAAGTTTGAATAGTTTCAGGAACCTTTATTCTTGGAAATTTTCCCTTTTTTCATGCACTTTTGTCTACATGAATACTACTCTTCTTCTATCCACTCATTCTTTGCATGCTGCTGTCCAGTATGGTAACTTGAACCAATACACTTCAGTGGGAAGTTCTACGCTGATTTCATCTGTCCGTTTATCTGGGAAAATCAAAACTATGTGCAGAAAAATAAATGACGATGATGATGATGGTTTTATGTAGCCAAACCTGATAAGAGTGAAGATAGAATGTGGGTCTTCGAAATACACCAGTTCTATGGTGATTTCGAATAACTTAGTGAATGCTATATTCCACTACCTTGATACACTTCTTGCCTCCTTTTCAAATAAAATGACTGCGTGTTTTTAGGAATACACTTATTATTTATCTGGCAGTATAAACTCCATGTGAAAAACTAATATTGAATGAAAACCACCAAATAGACGATTAGTGACTAGAAAATAAGCTAATGTAGCCCACTTCTAATTCTGGAATACAATCACTTTTGTTTTCTATGTATATGTAACCTTTATCGCATGATCAAAGTAATCTCCCATACATAAAACTATTGTATAATAAATCCATTAGGAATCAGATATAATTGGCAAAACACACTGTTACATCAAAGAAAGGATTTTCTAAAAAGAAAACTTTGATGTGGTGGTATAGTAAACACAGGACATACATCATTAAGAATTCTAGTGTACAAACAAAAAACTGTTCTTATCGATACTGAATGCTGGAAAATTAATTACCAAATTGGTTAATACCTTTGACACAACTACATCTAATGAGCAATAAAACTTTATATTTAATGATTATATTGTGCTGTATTTACTACAAGGTCTAAAGAAAAATGAAAATTAATACAGTGGTTATACATGATGGACTGAATAACTGAAAGAAGAAATAATGGTCAGTTTTGAGACTAAGACATTTCTATGGACATAGTCACTTGTGCTGGCAACTTTCGAAGTAAATAAAAAGTAGAATGCAACTCAGAAACCATGTGTCAGTTCGTGCAATAGGTGGTGAGTCACACCTAACGTGTGACAGCCAATCAGACTGTCTGGAAGACTAATTCCAAATAAGAGAAGCAGGGTTTGAACTCATGACTCACTGGCTGAAAACCGATCGGCTGACTAAATGGGCCATAGACACGTCTCAAACCCTTTTATTACTAGCTAATCACCTGGATGTTATTTAATATGGACTAGTTTATACGTATTCATCAGGGGATATTTATGATGATGATAATAGTGGAAAAAGAAACATACTGAAGCTTACGATATACTTTGCAGCTATGTCATAAATCCACCAGATATATTGTTATTTATTCTGTAGACCTCTAGATTTGACGAACATAGGATTATAATCAAGTTTTATCTCTCGAGTTAAGGGTGTCAGGCTTACAAGCAGAATGTAGGTAACAATAGAAACACCACATGATCTATACAAATGAAACACTTTTACTGAACTTTGAAATTTTGTGGGTATGATATCTCACCGGATTATGCAGCAAAAATAGGTGGAACTAGGTAATAGAAATAATAGGACTTTCAAATCACAATTTACTAATCACTCGATTTTTTGGAAACGGAAAAGGAATAAACATGGATTAAGGCTTAATTGTCAGTTTAAGGTATATGCGAAAAAACTCTGTTCTGGATTTTTAAAGGTTTTCTAATTTACGGAAATCACCCAGATCGAATGCTGATATACTCAGTTAACGGGATATCTTCAACCTTCAAAATCTTCTGATTGGCCACTGATACTCTCAATTTTCTTCACCTTCTTTAAAGGTTTTCAAATAAAATTTGACTCTTGTAATCCAAGACACATTTATTTGTTGTAGAAGAGCTTTCTGAACTGTTGGCATCTCTGAAAAAACCTACACATTTATAAGTCAAGTGAGCCACAGATATATTTCAGCAATTCAAGGTAATTTTTTTTTGAAACGGTAATACTTTATACATTTCCAGGAGTATGAAATATTAAAACACCGTAAATTTAGAGTAAACATTGAACATAATGCGATAGAATTAGAAAACATGAAAAATATTAGCAAATTTATTTAGCATTTCAATATCAGAAATAAAAACCGATTCTAAGGTAAGATTCAGGTGATTACGATCAACGCATACGTCTCGTCAAACTTACGTCACAGTAGATTTTGACATGAAAAAGTTCAAACCGAACCATCGAAGCTTCAAATACTCAGTAGAAAGCCTTGCAGGTATATTACAAGAAATTTACATGATTTATTAGACGAGACAGAATTTGTGACTATCCTGAGAGGTTTACGATTAAAAAATTATTTTTCGCAGTAATACGTTTCGTCGACGAGATGTACAATAAAACGTACATTTCTATAGTTTAAGACCTCTTAGGTATACGTTTTCATTGGTAGAACCTTCAATGTCAGTTCAGGCTTGATTTTTAGTGTAGCTTCATAAGTTTTATCGATGAAAAGTCAAGCACAAGGTTACAAATATTCACCGAAGTAAAAATATTTTACGGTCATACAAGAAACTGAAAATACCAGAAAGCTTTTCTGTTTCAAATTCGAATCTCTACAAGCAAACTAGTTAAAGAATAGACAGTAAAA